TGGAGGGGGGGGACCCCTCAGTAAATTCCATTCACTGAATCTATGGAGAAGGAACATTGTTACCCTAGATGGGGAAATATGTACGGTAGGTCCACAGAACATGTACCCCTCTCTTCATCTTTATAACAGGGGGGGGGGGGGTGTTCTGTAGTTTAGAAGTAAACCGGGAGTACAGGACATCACTGGATTTTTGGCAGGATCAATAGCATTTCTTTTCATTTTTTTTCTTCTTTTTTTCTCCATCTTTTGATCCAATGAGGAGAAGCATTCAGTGGTATATGTAGCCGACACGATCTATTTTATCAGGTCGGTGATGTGATGCCGGCTGTCACAACATCTCAGCGTGCCGTACTTGTAATTATCAGCAACATGTGAATGGGTGTGGATGAACTCTTCTCTAAACAATGGTCTTGTGTTCAAGTCTTCAGGAAGATTAATGCTTTGGGTGTGAAGGGTGAGCCTGGATTGATGTGTGCACTATATAGGAGAAGTACATATCTGCCTCCAGGTAAGTGCCCCAGGCTGTGGATGAGCCGGAGGAAACAACGCCTGAGAGTAGTAAACAGAAGCAGAAAGCAGACCGGCCGGCCTCTTCTCCGGAGCACACGGATGTATCGGCAGACAGCGCACGTCCTCAGCTCAACCCTGCAGACGAAGTGCCGGCTCAGTGCAACCTTCCCTGACTGTGACAGGATCCTATCATTCCCCGCCATCTCTGCATCCAAACCACAGCGGAGTCTAGTGATTGTCACATCCCGTGCCTCCGCTAATCAAATCAATGAGACCGCACAACCTGCCAGAGGAGAACGGCGCACATTTCCAGCAGACAATCCGGAGATCCAGAGTGCGGGATATTTATAGCAGCCAATCAGATTTGCAGTCTGCTCTAGTAATGTCTGTGGTAAACAATGGCTGATTGGTTGCTGCACTCTGCCTATTACAGATGTCTGCGTGATGGACTTGGCTCATGGTTGTCAATTAACCTTTTTTTTTTTTTTTTTTTTTTCTTTCCCTTAATAAATATGTCTACAAATGGCAAAATCGTTCTCTGAATCAAGTGCACCTGTCACACGTCAACGTAGCATCTCCCACTAATGCTACAGCCCATAGATTGTGTCATACTCACTTGTCCATCAATTTGTATAGAAATCCTCTTACACTCGATTGGTTTTAAAGCAGATCTTCATGCCCCCCCCCCCTTTTGTTCCTTTTTTTTTTTTTCCCTTTGTTTTTCCTTTTTTTTTTTTCCCTTCCTTTTTCCTTTTTTTTTCTTTCCCTTCTTTTTCCCTTTTTTTTTTCTTTCCCTTCTTTTTTCCCTTTTTTTTTTTCTTTCCCTTCTTTTTTTTTCCTTTTTTTTTTTTTTTCCCTTCTTTTTTCCTTTTTTTTTTCTTTCCCTTCTTTTTTTCCCTTTTTTTTTCTTTCCCTTCTTTTTTCCTTTTTTTTTTTTCTTTCCCTTCTTTTTTTTTTTTTTTTTTCTTTCCCTTCTTTTTTCCTTTTTTTATCTTCTTTTTTCCTTTTTTTTTCTTTCCCTTCTTTTTTCCTTTTTTTTTTTTCCCTTTTTTTTCCCTTTTTTTTGCCTTTTTTTTTTTTTCCCCCCCTTCTTCTTTTTTTTCCTTTTTTTTTCTTTCCCTTCCTTTTTGCCTTTTTTTTTTTTTTTTTTTTCTTTCCCTTCCTTTTTTTTTTTTTTTTTTTTTTTTCCCTTCTTTTTTCCCTTTTTTTTTTTTCCCCCCTTCTTTTTTCCTTTTTTTTTTTTTTTCTTTCCCTTTTTTCTTTTTTTTTTCTTTTTTTTTTTTTTCCCCCCTTCTTCTTTTTTCCTTTTTTTTTTTCACCCCTACTTACCTGGTTGCAGGTTCTGCACATTTAAGGTACTCGCGCACAGTCGGTCCAGCGTTGTCCTACTGAGATCTTTTTTTTTTTTTTTTTTTTTTTTTACCCCCTAGTTTATTAGACTGAAGTATATCCGATCAATGGGGACTTTTAGCCCTGGTTCACACTGATGCAGTGCGGAATTTGCAGCGTTTTCAGTCTGAATTCTGCAACACATCAGAATCGCACCCCGTTCATGCGAAGCGTTGCGGGTGTGTATGTTAAGTTAACAACACCCCAAAAGCGGCCCGTAAACCGCAGTGTGATGTGCAGAGTCGGATTGCATAGGTGTGAATATCTATGCGGTCTGATTCTAGTGCACACCCAAAAAAGGGTCCTGCATGTTTTTGGTGCGGGTGAGGTATGAATAGAGCCATACAAAATGTATGGCTGCAATCGCTCAGCACACAAATCACACGTGATTTGCACAGGAATGCGGTGCAGTTTCTGTGCGAATCACATGTGATATACTGCACATGTGAACACAGGCTTAGTGTTAATAAACCCCGCACCCTGCATTCACTATATCTGGTCTCCCCGGACCCCGCATTCACTATATCTGGTCTCCCAGGACCCTGCATTCACTATATCTGGTCTCCCCGGACCCTGCATTCACTATATCTGGTCTCCCCGGACCCTGCATTCACTATATCTGGTCTCCCCGGACCCTGCATTCACTATATCTGGTCTCCCCGGACCCTGCATTCACTATATCTGGTCTCCCCGGACCCTGCATTCACTATATCTGGTCTCCCCGGACCCTGCATTCACTATATCTGGTCTCCCCGGACCCTGCATTCACTATATCCGGTCTCCCCTGACCCTGCATTCACTATATCCGCTCTCCCTGGACCCTGCATTCACTATATCCGGTCTCCAAGGACCCCGCATTCACTATATCCGGTCTCCAAGGACCCCGCATTCACTATATCCGCTCTCCCCGGACCCCGCATTCACTATATCCGCTCTCCCCGGACCCCGCATTCACTATATCCGCTCTCCCCGGACCCCGCATTCACTATATCCGCTCTCCCCGGACCCCGCATTCACTAGATACGCTCTCCCCGGACCCCGCATTCACTATATCCGCCCTCCCCGGACTCCCGCATTCACTATATCCGCTCTCCCCGGACCCCGCATTCACTTATATCTGGTCTCCCCGGACCCTGCATTCACTATATCTGGTCTCCCCGGACCCTGCATTCACTATATCCGGTTTCCCCGGACCCTGCATTCACTATATCCGGTCTCCCCGGACCCTGCATTCACTATATCCGGACTCCGCATTCACTATATCTGGTTTCCCCGGACCCTGCATTCATTATATCTGCTCTCCCCGGACCCGGCATTCACTATGTCCGCTCTCCCCGGACCCTGCATTCACTATGTCCGCTCTCCCCGGACCCTGCATTCACTGGTCATTCACTTATATCTGCTCTCCCCGGACCCTGCATTCACTATATCTGCTCTCCCCGGACCCTGCATTCACTATATCTGGTCTCCCAGGACTCTGCATTCACTATATCTGGTCTCCCCGGACCCCGCATTCACTATATCCGCTCTTCCCGGACCCCACATTTTTATTATATCCGGTCTCCCACAGTACACACAACATGAGAATGCAATTATTTTAGTAAATAGCAGTTTAGCTAAATACATTTTTCTCATCAGCACTTAGAGCAGTCTTGTGACTTCTATCAGTGTCCAGCCCACCACTAGCTAAAGCTTTTAGGAGGAGTTTTTATTCTGCTCTAGGAGGATGCAGAACCGTTGACCTCTGTCTTGACAGCACTGATTGGCCCAGTGCTGATCACATGCACTCTCCCAAGAAAGAAAAAAAAAACCTCTAGCAATACACACCAAACTGAGCATGTGCAAAAAATGCCTAGGATTCAGTATGTCTTAGCAGGAGATAAGAGGTGTTTGCTTGAAAAAGAGGACGAACAAAAAAGAAAGGGTCAAAGGGCCTTTGTACACAATGCAGGTAATTAACCCCTTAGGTTCCACAGTGAGTATAAACAAGCATGCTGTACTGCATCTACAGACTGATTGTACTGCTGGGGGTTTAGTAACACTCTCTCATGACATGAATAGCACAGTGGGGTACATACCTTTCAATCTTGGTGCAACCCCCGCTTCCCGATTCCTCACCTGGGCAAGCATGAGACCGTCTCAGCTACCCGCTGTCTCCTTGTCCTACATCTCAGTGTTTCAGGCAGGAACAAAGTATTGTGTCATTTAGGACCGGCAAGGTCCGACTCATGGGCATACGGGTCCCAAGGCTCTACCGGGTCCTAAATCTATACTAGAGCCCTGTGGCCTGTCTGCACAGATGCAGGTTTGAGGAATTGGAACAACCATCTCCTGAAATAACGGGACAGAGTGTCCCAAGAACGTTGGCTGTAAGGAAGGCAGCATTGGACTCTATGGACTAGACCCCTGGTGCCCATCCTGTGGCCCCTAGGGCTGCAGGTTGCCCATTTAGTATATGATGTGTGGCCCTCAGACCTCAGCAGTCCGTAGTGAGAACATTGATTAGATTAATAGCAGTGACCTCTACTAGCCCCATAAAACTTGTTCCCAGTTTCATGTAGTCTTCCCAGCCAATGATGTATCCTGTCCACACTCTCTGACCCTCATTTTCCTCTATTAGGGCTGCCGTCTCTGACGGTCCTCTCATTACATATACTGACCATTATCTGCGGTCCTTTGGGGATGGCAAGGGCCGCATTTGAGACCAGCTTTAGTAAGTTGACTACCACTTGTCTAGAAAGTATGTTGTTTAGCTGGTTTTTTTGTTTGTTTTGGTTTTTTTTGTTTGTTTGTTTTGTGTTTTGTTTTTTTTTTTTTTTTTTTCCCCCCCATACTGGGACACTTATTGAAGAGACATTTAAATGTCCATAGATAGGGTAATGTACATTTGAACTGCAAGCAAAATGGGTCAACCACCATAATATATCCTGTTTTTCCTTCAGTCCTAGCTGCATGCGTACAAATGAATATGCAGCATTTGGATGAGAACATCCATCATTATGAGCCCTTACACTTGTTGGGTGTGCTGATGAAAAGTTCACCGTCTTGGTTGCTCATTCTCTGCATGTTGTTTTGACTGTTCTGTTTGGTGTTTTTCAGGGATGGTCCTGGTACGGAGCGAGAATGGGCAGCTGTTGATGATCCCCCAGCAGGCGCTGGCCCAGATGCAGGCTCAGGTTCAAGCACAGGCTCAGTCACAGGCCCAGAATGCAATGGCTCCTCGGCCTGCAACACCCACCAGTGCCCCACCAGTGCAGATCTCCACAGTCCAGGTACGGTGGTGAATCCCAATGGGGTCTACATAGTATTATTATTATTATACAGGATTTATATAGTGCCAATAGTTTGCTCAGCGCTGTACATCATAGTGGGAGACAGTACAGCTACAATACACGAGGGGTTCGAGGGCCCTGCTCCTTGGAGCTTACAATCTAGGAGGGAGGGGAGAGTGGTACAGGAGGAAATAGCTGTGGGGGATGGAGTGGTGGGAAGAGCGGAGGAGATCAGCAATTAGGTGAGGGCGGGGTAGGCTTCTCTGAAGAGATGGGTTTTTAGGGTGCGCCTAAAGGTGAGGAGGGTAGGTGACAGTCTGATGGATTAGGGTAGCGAGTTCCAGAGGATGGGGGGAAGCCCTGGAGAAGTCCTGGAGACGGGCATGGGAGGAGGAGACCAGGCAACTGGAGAGTAGGAGGTCTTTGAGGAGCGGAGAGTACGTTTTGGGTGGTAGATGGACATATAGGGATTCTATATTCCCTTTAGCTATATAAATGAATGCAGCTGTTGATCATTTCCAACTCTTACCTTACTACTCAGCAATTGTGCTTTTTTTTTTCTTTTTTTTTTTTTTTTTTTGGTTTTCTTTTCTCAGTATTCGTGTATAGACAGAACAGTTTGTAAACTTTCATTAAAACGGTGTGCATTGTCACAGGCTTGGGAGCTGTAAACCCTAAGGGGGCCATTTATAAACATTCACTGTGCCAATGCTGCCAGGATTCACACAGCAAGGGAGAATGTCACCAGCACACCGAGGATCACCAATATGGGTCCAAAAGCTTTAACCACTTCAGTACCGGGCACTTATACCCCCTTCCTGCCCAGGCCAATTTTCAGCTTTCAGCCTTGTCGCACTTTCAATGACAATTGCGCGGTCATGCAACACTGTACCCATATGAATTTTTTTATCCTTTTTTCACACAAATAATGCTTTCTTTTGGTGGTATTTAATCACCACTGAGTTTTTTTTATTTTTTGCTAAATAAAACAAAAACCACCTGAAACTTTGGAAAAAAACACACTTTTCTTCATTGCTGTTATAAATTTTGCAAATAAATACATTTCTTCATAAATTTAGGTTAAAAATATATTCTGCTGCATTTCTTTGGTGAAAATAATATTAATGATTGAATTTGTATTTTTTTTTTTCAAATGTTTCTATTTTTTATTTTATTTTTTATTACATTTTTTCTTTTTTTTTACTATTTTACTTTTCATCACACTGTGACCAAAGCAATACAATGTTACCATAGTAACATTGAACTACTCTGGGCAAGTGATCAGAATTTTTTTTTTTTTTTTTAACACATTATGATTGCTAATAGCAATGTATTTAATTGATATTTGCAATCATTGTTACTGAATGAAACTAATTAATTCAGTCTTGTGTTGTGATTAGCTGTCTTGTGTTGATGATACTAGGGCTGTGATTGGGCAAGCTGATCACATGATACTGATGGGCTGTGATTGGGCAAAGCTGATCACATGATACTGATGGGCTGTGATTCGGCAAAGCTGATCACATGATACTGATGGGCTGTGATTCGGCAAAGCTGATCACATGATACTGATGGGCTGTGATTCGGCAAAGCTGATCACATGATACTGATGGGCTGTGATTCGGCAAAGCTGATCACATGATACTGATGGGCTGTGATTCGGCAAAGCTGATCACATGATACGGATGGGCTGTGATTCGGCAAAGCTGATCACATGATACTGATGGGGGCTGTGATTGGGCAAAGCTGATCACATGGGCATACATGATACTGATGGGCTGTGATTGGGCAAAGCTGATCACATGATACGGATGGGCTGTGATTGGGCAAAGCTCAAATACGCTGATCACATGATATGATACGGATGGGCTGTGATTCGGCAAAGCTCATCACATGATACAGATGGGCTGTGATTGGCTCCGTCTGTATCATGTGACTGCCTTGACCAGTCACAGCTGACAACATAATTGTATACAACGGATGGCAGGACAGGAAGCCATCCATTGTATACAGTTGGCATGCGATCTGCTGTGATTGGTCACATGACACTGGCAACGGGCAGGTGTAGTGGTATGTCATCGGCTGTGTCCCATGGACGCGGCCACGTGAGCGGTTCGTTTTGACAGGACGTCATAAGACACCCAGTCACAATGGCGAGTGTCCCGCCCGCCCGTCAATCTGCTATAGGCCGAGCGGGAAGGTGTTAAGGAACGATCACATAGTTACAACAAGGCAACGTTTCAGAGTCTCGCAGGACCCCTTCATCAGGCATGTCACAATTTGTCACGAGACTCCGAAACATTGCCTTGCTGTAACTATGTGATGGTTCATTAAAACTTTTGGACCCATATTGGTGATCCTCGCTGTGCTGGTGACATTCTCCCTTGCTGATTCTGTTCGGTTCCAGCCGACAGTCGCTGCAGCACCCACTTATATATACACACAGCCATTATTGAACGCAGGAATGTGTGCGTTGGGATTGTACACTAGCGTTCACACAGCAGTCACATACTGTGTCTAATAGGGTCATTTCCTTTTGTCTGCTACGTCTAGTGGCCATAATTTTGATATTTTTTTATTAAGCTTTTCAGGAAAATATCTCCTTACCGGCCGTAGATGGAACTGACAGTCATAGGAAACATATTGCATACAATACGGGGATTATTTGTGATGTCCATCCAGATGCGTGAGGCATTTGAACAGCAAGTTTTCGTATAGACCCCTAGGTGTGAACTTCAGGTCCAAGTGCCCACCATGCCACTTCGTAACTGCACAGCCTAGTAAACGTGCAGGAACAGATGGAGCCTGCATCTGATTGGTGCTCTGATTCTAACCAACAAGTGGAGTCCGAGAGACAGAGATGCTGATTGGCCGCCCTGCCTCGCACAGGACCTTTCATTGGCTGCGGTGGAGAGAGACAGGGATAGCAGGTCAAACCAAAGGAAGGACTGCTTTTGGCAATCAATACGTAGATAAAGACTCTTCTCCGATACACCTGATGTACATACTTGGTTACGGTCAGTGACTCGAGATATTGAATCCTCTCTCTGGCTCCCACTATATATGGGTCTAGTCCCCTGAAGTGTAGATTTAGACTTGCATCTAAATGTCCCTTTCCACTGAAGCCCGATCCACGTTAGAGGCTGGTGACAGGCGGTGAGGAAGTCATGTGACGCCTCCTCGCCGCTCGTTTTGTTGCATTGCACATGGTTACAGGGCGTTCGTAGTGCCTCCCTATTTGCGTGACTGTGGCGGGCTTTCTGCCCACCGAGTGCTACCTGTTGGCTGCGAACCATTGTGGCTGCAGCATGTAAACACCCCCCACCCCCATTCCACTGCCTATTGCCGTTTAAGGGGAGGGGGATTAGCAAAACATGGCTTAACCACTTGTTTTTTACGCCGCCCCCCCCCCATCCGCAATTCTAAACAAAGCCAAAGAATCTCTGGACCGCATCGAAATAATGATTTCAAGTACAATGCAGGTCTAATAGCCCTGCATTGTACAGGAGGATGTTGAGAGGCGAGCACCTGGGTGAGGAGCAGGGGCGGACTGACCATTTGGAAACTCTGGCACTGCCCGGGGTCAGTAGGGGGCCCCATGAGATGCCCCTGGTACCTTTTTCATAGGCTTTTTTGAGTTTGGGCAAGGACACAGGGGCCCCGTGATCCCCTATTGCCCGGGGGGCCCATGAGTTGTCAGTCCGCCCCTGGTGAGAAGTAAGGTAATATTCGTTCGTCTTCTTTTACCCCTCAACTTAAAGAACATTCTACCCTGGCATTGGAACCCCACTCGCTGCAAGGGGAGATTTTGTTTTGTATATCCTGGAGGTTAGGCCGGGGGCTTTAGTCAGTCCTTGACCATATGCTATTTGCCTGTGTGACCATCAAAGACATATGGAGCAGCAAATTCACAGGAATTGTTTCGGATACAAATTTTATAATCCCTCCTAATTAATTTTCTCTGAAAATACAATACGTACCTTTTTTTATACTTCTGTTTTTTGGGCCAGAGATGATGCTGACGCGGCAGGGGATATATAGATACCGATGGCCGTATGATGATGCAAATGAACTTGAGAAAAGTAATAGACCGTCAAAGACCTGTTGTATTTTTCATGGAGGGATGTTAATTCTCATTACTTTCTCTCTCTCTCTGACCTGCAGTCCCCCGGTGCACCTTTGCTGGCGAGGCAGGTTACGCCAACTACCATCATCAAGCAAGTATCCCAGACGCCAACAACTGTGCAGGCCACCACCACACTACAGAGACCCCCAGTTGTACAAGTAAGTATCCGGCCCCCCCACCACCCCATTTCACCCACACGATTTCCCCAGTTTACCCCAGTCCATGTATCCACTGCAGGGACTGGGTTGCTATTGTCATGCCCAGTGTATGAGTGCCATGCTATGTTCCTTCATATCCTGGGGACAGCATTATGATGTCATCTACAACTGAATCCTCACAGGTTTTGGCCTTATCAACAGCAGCCAATTGCAACAAGAATCCAAAAAGTTTGTGTCCTAATCTAATGTTTGGAAAGCTAAACAAGAACCCATTTTGATGACCCCATTCTTCATATTGTTGTTTCAGTTATCTGTCTTCTCTTGTCAAGCTGCTGATTGGCGGGTCCTGATGACATCACAATCCTGCTGAGCACATTATGATTTGTTGATGTCTATTGATCATTTTCCCCAATTTCTTTCTTTCTTTCTTTCTTTTTTTTTTTTTTTTGTTGCAACAACCATCATTCTGTCATGGATCACTCTGCATGACCATCAGATCTCATAAATCATACCGATAGAGAAGACCACTGAGTGCTATCTAGGATCAGGGACAGAGCAGAGGACATAGACAGGCTGAGGCTCCCACCTAGTGGCCATTTAGCAGAATTCCAGCATGAGAATGGAGAAGACGTTTTTTGCTTTTGCTTTTATTTTTTTGGCACAACTAATTCATAATATATTTAATTGTATAGTTAGTGTTTGGTGGCTATATACTATCAGATATGTCATGTACGACGAAATATCAATTTATCTGCCTGACATTGAAGCACCCCTCCTTCCCCAACGATATGGAGAAAAGTAATAGATTTTTTCCAGCTCCTTTTTCTTGTGTGGGATTTTATGAATGCTGAAGTTTTCATAGATAAATATCGTAGATTCATTTAGAGATAATCTGTAGCCTTTAGTTTCCTCTGCCATTCAGTCCTTCGAAACATCCCAACAAGTTGCAGTAAATGCTACTAAAGCTTAAAGCATATGTTAGTGCCAAATGGGGAAAAAAAAAGAACATTTTGTATATATATATATATTTATAGGTACTTCTATATAGGGCCGTCAATTTACGCAGCGCTTCACATATATATTATACATTCACATCAGTCCCTAACCCTCAAGGGGTGTACAATCTAAGGTCCCTAACTTACATTCATATATACTAGGGCCAATTTAGACAGGAGCCAATTCACCTACCAGCATGTCTTTGGAGTGTGGGAGGAAACCGGAGTACCTGGAGGAAACCCACGCAGGCACAGGGAGAACATGCAAACTCCAGGCAGGTGGTTCTGTGGTTGGGATTCGAACCAACGACCTTAGTACTGCCAGGCAGAAGTGTTAAGCCACTGTGCTGCCCTATATATATATATATATATATAAAAAATTACACACAGTATAAATTTGCAGTACATGATCATATCCACATGTTTCATTCCATTTAAAGTGACATTAAACCTTCATTATGTGTTTTTTGTTTTTTTTAATTAAAATAAACATGATACTTACCTGTTCTGTGTAATGGTTTTGCACAGAGCAGCTCTCAGCCTCCTCTTCCGGGGTCCCCCATCGGCTCTCCTGGTTCCTCTTCTGTGAGGGCCTCCATAGCAAGCCTAGTGCATGCTCGCTCCCGAGCCACCCTTTGTGCGTCTATTGACAAAGACCGACTGGCGCGATGCAACCCAGCACCACCCCCCACCATCCTCCCGTTGCTCCCTTGTCACAGCATTTGACTGCTAGCAATGGGAGCTAATGGCTCCTGCTGCTATCAGTCTGCCCAGTGAGGAGGTAGGCAGTGGTGAGAGCCTCTGCTCCCGTGCATATGGCTGGATTGGGTTTGGGTAAGTATAAGGGGGTGCTGGGGATCATGCGGTATAGAAGGTTTTTTTTTTACCTTAATACATTAAGGCATTAGAACCACTTTAAAGTACTGCAAGTACTGAATAGTACCTGTTGATCTTGTACTTTGCACCTGGCTCCTAATTTCCTGTTGTGGCCTACTTTTTTGCTACACTGAAATTGCAAGGAATGGTGTCAGCCTTGGCCAGTTGTCCTTTACTAAAGTATGGACCCCCCTCCCCCCCCACATCCACAGATGAAGGGAGGTGTTCTGTAGTTCAAGTAGAAGGGCTACTATAGCAGGACGGCTATGAATTTCAAGCAAGATCAACAGGTTTTTGTTTTTTTTTTGGGGGGGGGGGGGGGTCTTCTTGCATTTTTCGACCAGATCCATCCACTTTTAGACAGAACTCCCTTCCCCTTAGCCTTTGGCAGTTGATTTCCGGCATACGTATGTGGCAGTCTAGTCTACATATATCCTGTGGCAACTTCTACATTTCAAAGGCAGAGGTCTGCTACCTCCCACTTCCACAATCCTTACATAGGTCAGGTTCTTGGTGATTTCTCATATAACTGACACTTCAAACATTCTATCATAGATATATGCCAGGAACTCTCGGCATAACTCTATTTATATTGCAGTTTAAAAGCCTAAAAACAATTAAAATAGATCCTGAGCTTTGTAGTAGACGGTCTCCCATTGCTGGCCCTCCACTATTAGCAGACATTTTGGTGCACATGGGGATAAAGGAAGATAACATAAAGCCGGGTATTCTATCATTATACTGGCTTTGTTTATTGCACATGGTGATTTTTAAATGACTTAAAAGAGTCTGTATTAACCACACTTCCAAAATACACCAAAGCTTTCATAAATTGGAACATCTGATTTTACTTTTTCTTTCATTTTTTTTTGTTTTTTTTTTGCCAGTGTTGTGTTTTTAAGTTGGCACCATCATTCATTACCCACCTGGCCTGTTTTTAAACACATTTTAGGGAGGTCTTTATTGATTTCTGTGTGCCACCGGCCGAGAATCGGCACCGTGCCCGGCCGCCAGTTATAATGTCCGTGTTGTCTCTCCTGCACAGAATCAGATAGTGCTCAGCAGCACGGCGCAAACTGCCACTTTGGGGACAGCGTCGGCCGTCCAGACTGGAACCCCGCAGAGAGCGGTGCAAGGAACTGCTACCCCAGCGACAGCCACCACGGTACAGCGCCCCTGAGCATCCTCACACTGGCACCATCTAACAAGATGGTGCCCTGTATAGGTTACTGTAGGATTTGGGAATATGCTGCATAGAACATTTAGGGGGGAAGTGACTCAACAGACCTTCATTAAATTTAGTTTCTGGAAAACAGACACAGAAATGTATATCTTTTTATATTAATAGGGTAGCCTTTGAGCTGCCATGATTGATGGTCAGTACCGGAGCTCCGAGAAGTTATAGGACAGGTATTGACATGTAAAGATGATACAAGCAGTAGCAGGAAATATGAGGAAATTGAGATTCCTGGAGTGCTCCTTGACAAAATAAGGTTTTGCTTGTAACAAACAAAAGTTTCAACCCAAATTGGTTCCATGGTAAAATGAAAGCTCTCTGTAACGTTGACTTTAATGTAACCATCTGATTGTCTACCTTTAAGCTGGCCATACACATGACAATCTGTATGATCACATGTTAGATTTCCAGCAACAATGTTGTGTGAGGGCCTACTTCATTATATTGTATGTTAATTATAAATGCATTAAGGAAGGCCCTTGCACTGCATATGTGTTCGTCAATTCAAAGGTGATTGTGCAGGGTTTTGGATTGGGATCTATCGATCTGTGCCTCCAAGGACCAGTGTCAAGAAGCTTTAACATCTGTTTACATCCAGCTTCTTGGATCATTCAAAATTCATTGTCCTCCTTCTAGCTTGTTCTTGACCTTCTGGCTAATATTTGACCTGTTCCCAAGCAGCTTTTGAATTTCCTTTGAGAAAAGTAATTCTGATGCAAACAGAAGCCCATTGACACTTGCCATAAATGTGAATTCTTTGGTTTATAATCCTATGCTGTAATTGTGACTATAATGTCCCCAATGCAGTTTGCCCACCTGGCCTTTCATATAGATCCTAGCTCAGTGGAGACCAATGTTCTTACAGGGGTCAACATTGACCTATGCAATGGCTGTGATGCATCTCGGGCACTGTGTGTTTTATATTGAGCAAGCCCAGAGCTCTGTTAAAAGCCAATCTATATTGACAGTGAATTATTTTTAAGGAGAGTTCACAAGAAATGGTAATCACCTGTTTGATTGAGGTGAGTGGTAACATGGACTGGTCCCTACAGCCCCCTAACTAATCAGATTGGGTATGACTGTATCTTCAGGTCACTTTGCATTACTTTATTTGATGTGTAGGTGATGCTGTAGGTCAGGGCTCGAAATTTCCACTCGCCTACTCGGAAATTATGGTGGGGGCGAGTGTGTCCCCCAGGGCCGTCTTGCTGAGCAGGCTCGGAGCTCAGGCCGGATCTGTCATTGGCACTGGGAGCCGTCAGACTGCTCAATAGCTGAGCGCAGTGAAAGCTGTGCGCTCTGCCTCCCCCTAGAGTGCAGTACTCGGCTCTGTGAGTGAACAACGAAGTACTGCAACTTTTTATGGGGGGGGTGGGGTGTACATGTGTTTGTGTGTGTACGTGTACATGTGTGTGTGTCTTTGTGTGTGTGTACGTGTACATTTGTGTGTGTGTTTGTGTGTGTCTGTGTATGCATGTACATGTGTCTGTATGTGAATGTGTGTATCTGTACATGTGTCTGCGTGTATGTACTTGTATGTGTGTGTGTACATGTGTCTGTGTGTGTGTGTATGTATGTATGTATGTATGTACATGTCTGTGTGTACATATCTGTGTATGTATGTACATGTGTCTGTGCGTGTGTATTTCTGTGTATGTACATGTATCTGTGTGTATGCGTGTCTGTACGTGCCTGTGTGTGTATACATGTGTCTGTGTGTGTGTGTACATATGTCTCTGTGCGTGTGTACATGTTTCTGTGTGTGTATGTACATGTCTGTGTGTGTGTGTGCAAGTGTCTCTGTGTGTTTGTTGGTGGCAAGTAACTCTTAAGTCCTGGCTAGTAGCTCAGGACTTGAAATGTTAAGCCCTGCTGTAGGTAATATCTATAATTGCAGATCCCTGTCCTAGAAAACCTTAGACTCTGGGACTCCTTAAGGAACCAGACATATTCCAGTTGTCCTAGAAATCCCCTTGAACATAATACTTCAGACTGTAAATGCAGCCTGTGATGCTATGTGAACTTTCTGGGTTATCAGAATGATATTCTAATCATGACTATTGAACAGACAGGTCCTCCATGATGGCATTGTTGAATCCTTGTAATGTGATACATTGGCTTCATCCTAACTTGTACCTCTATAAAATATTTCCCTGCCCTCTGAGCCCTCTCCTTTTCACCTTCATCTCATTCAGACTTGTAAAGTTATATTATAGAAGCCCCCCCCTTGTACATGCGGAAGAACTTTGTGGATGAAGGGGAAAATTGACCATTAAATGTCTGGAAGGGACTTCTAGTGCAAAGAAATAGAACACTTTTTTTAAAAAAATAATAATTTTATAAAGCATATTGTAATGACATCAATGGCTTGAGCATGTGCTGTAATTAGTATTTCTTGTTTGCTTCAGGAAACCATGGAAAATGTGAAGAAATGTAAGAATTTTTTATCCACTCTCATAAAACTGGCCTCATCGGGTAAACAGTCTTCAGAGACGGCAGCTAATGTTAAAGAGCTAGTACAGAATCTGCTGGTAAGTGGCCGTTCTGTTGTCCATGTACCTCCTCAGGCCGGTGCCTACATTTTGCTACTATTCTGCTATCCATGTGCACTTTCTCAGATGCCCCCTTTCTGTTGTCCATGTGTCCTCTCGGCATGACGCCCTCTTTTTGTTGTCCATGTGTCCTTTATCAGCCTGATGTCTGTCTCCATTCTGTTGTCCGTCTGTCCTTTCTTGGCCCAATGTCTCCATTCTGTTGTCCATGTGTCCTTTCTCGGCATTACGCCCCCATTCTGTTGTCCATGTGTCCTTTCTCGGCCTAGTGTCTCCATTCTGTTTTCCATGTGTCCTTTCTCAGCCCAGTGTCTCCATTCTGTTTTCCATGTGTCCTTTCTCGGCCCAATGTCTCCATTCTGTTGTCCATGTGTCCTTTCTCAGCATTACGCCCCCATTCTGTTGTCCACGTATCCTTTCTCGGCCCGATGTCTCCATTCTGTTGTCCATGTGTCCTTTCTCATCCCAATGTCTCCATTCTCTTGTCCATGTGTCCTTTCTCGACATTACACCCCCATTCTGTTGTCCATGTGTCCTTTCTCGGCCTGATGTCTCCATTCTGTTGTCCACGTGTCCTTTCTCGGCCCGATGTCTCCATTCTGTTGTCCACGTGTCCTTTCTCGGCCCGATGTCTCCATTCTGTTGTCCACGTGTCCTTTCTCGGCCCGATGTCTCCATTCTGTTGTCCATGTGTCCTTTCTCGGCCCGATGTCTCCATTCTGTTGTCCACGTGTCCTTTCTCGGCCCGATGTCTCCATTCTGTTGTCCATGTGTCCTTTCCCGACCCAGTGTCTCCATTCTGTTTTCCATGTGTCCTTTCTCGGCCCGATGTCTCCATTCTGTTGTCCATGTGTCCTTTCTTAGCCTTTCTGTTGTCCATGTACCCTTTCTCAGCCTAATGCCTCCATTCTGTGTTTTACGCATCTTTTCTCAGCCTGATGCCTTCTAACTAGGGATGCACTGATATACAGTGGGGATCGAAAGTTTGGGCACCCCAGCTAAAAATTTGTCTGGGCATTTAAAACCTTTGAGATTGACATCACCTAGTCTTCCCAGACGATGATTTGAGAACAATCCATGACACTGGCAGGTCTCAGCTTGGCAAAGGGGGCAGTGCATGCTATAAATTCTGCAGGGTGCCCAAACTTTTGCAGACGCCATTTTTTGTTTTCTGTTATTTTGAAAGTGTAAATGATGGAAATAAAATCTAACTTTTGTTGACATATTATAAGAATGTCTAATCTGTAATTTGATGCCTTTTGGAGATTTTTCCATGTTTCCTTGGCTTCTTTATGCACATTAAATACAAATTTTTAGCTGGGGTGCCCAAACTTTCCATCCCCACTGTATATCGGTGTCCGAAATATGTCGGCTGAAAGTAGCGTTATCGTTATTTTACCATGATTTTGCCGTGTTTTTTTTTTTTTAAATGCAAAAACGCGTCAAAAACTGCTCACTGTGAAAGGAGTGTATTGGCCAAAGAGGTGCTGAAAATAAATTCATATTCATTTAAGTTCATAATATTAATTAAAACCTCAAATATAATACAATTTTATATATATATAAAAAAATTGTCCATTTCGGTGTTCAGCCAAATGCTTCCTGGCCGGTTTCGGTCTAGAATTTTCATTTTGGTGCACCACCACTTCTAACCTGTACTGAGAGAACAATGAAGACATCCATTGACCTCCTTCTGAAAATGCTAGCTGCCTGGCTGGCCCTGACTTTAATACATCCCTAGTCTCAGACCCAGAACAAGCACACAGATGGGAAATGTCTATGAAGTTGGAGCTCTTCATAATTGACAGTCAGCAAGCTTGGTATTTTCAGCAGTGACAGCTTATGTACTTTTCAGGACAGGTTTCATTTGTTGCTTTTTGTGCATATATTCTCAAGTCTCACTCTCCTGGCTGCGCCCGCAAATTACTGTCCTGAAGGCCTTCTATAGGGTGTTTTTTTGAGGCTTTTTGAGATACAGCCCCATAGAAGTGCAGGTGAGGCCAGGGCACTGCACATAGGAGAGCAGATAGGGTTGATATTTGTGATTGACAGCTCCTAGGCAGGTTTTTTTAGGTATTATGTGCATAGCAGAGGCCTACACACAAGGAAGCTAATGGGGTCATTGCTGTGATTGACCGCTGCTAAGAAAATGCCGCGTGTACAGTGAATGTCCCCAATCCGAGGGAGACCAGCGCATAGTTAATAATAACACAAATCTTGTGTAAGTTTTAAAACTGTTGAATTATTTTCTCACCCTCTTTGCAAAGGTGGGACATTCATTACTGTCTTTGATGCTTGAAAGAAACCCGCTGATGTTACAGCTTAGGTTTGCCGGATGCTCTTCACACAGGAAGAATAGCAGTAACAATTCCATATTAACTCTTTCTCCCGCAGGATGGGAAAATTGAAGCAGAGGATTTCACCAGTAGATTATACAGAGAACTGAACTCTTCACCTCAACCTTACCTTGTGCCTTTCCTAAAGGTAAGACCGCTCTTGCCCCCCCTAGGCCTTGTGTACTTTGATGTTGCACCACTCCCTCTGTGAAGTCCTAATAGCACACCGTGGAGGAGATTTACGAAGGGCTCATTCACACCATGGTGCAGAGACATCGGTTTCTTCTGCACTCGTGGTGTGAACAGGGCACATAGAGAACGATTGATTTCATTGTGCCCTTGCAGAACAACACTGGTATCACATGCAGATTTTGTCTGTGGAGGAATCTGCAACGTGTATAAAACTCTTTGAAGCGCGCATGAGAACTGATGTATTTATTTATTTATTACAGGTAATAGATATAGTGCCATCAATTTACGCAGCACTTTACATATTTATATATATATATATATGTGTGTGTGTGTGTGTGTGTGTGTATATATATATATTATTATTATTATACAGTATTTATAAAGCACCAATAGTTTGCTCAGCGCTATATATATATATATATATATGTTTGTGTAAATATATAAAATACATTTAGCACAGTGGCTAAATGGTTAGCACTTCTGCCTGGCAGTACTCGGGTCGTCGGTTTCAATCTCAACCACGGCACAACTTGCCTGGAGTTTGCATGTTCTCCCTGTGCCTGCGTGGGTTTCCTCCGGGTACTCTGGTTTCCTCCACACTCCAAAGTCATGCTGGTAGGTTAATTGGCTCCTGTCTAAATTGTCCCTAGTATGTGTATGGATGAATGTAAGTTAGGGACCGTAGATTGTACACACCCTTGAGGGTTAGGGACCTTAGATTATACACCCCTTGAGGGTTAGGGACCTTAGATTGTACGCCCCTTGAGGGTTAGGGACCTTAGATTGTACGCCCCTTGAGGGTTAGGGACCTTAGATTGTACACCTCTTGAGGGTTAGGGACCTTAGATTGTACGCCCCTTGAGGGTTAGGGTTTAGGGGGTTACCTTAGATTGTACGCCCCTTGAGGGTTAGGGTCCTTAGATTGTACACCCCTTGAGGGTTAGGGGGTTAGGGACTGATGTGAATGTACAATATATATGTAAAGCGCTGCGTAAATTGATGGTGCTATACAAGTACCTGAAATGAAATATATATATATATATATATATATATATATTGTACATTCACATCAGTCCCTAACCCTCAAGGGGCGTACAATCTAAAGTCCCTGACTCACATTCATACATACACATACTAGGGCCAATTTAGACAGGATCTAATTAACCTACCAGCATGTCTTTGGAGTGTGGGAGGAAACTGGAAACCCACGCAGGCACAGGGAGAACATGCAAACTCCAGGCAGGTGGTGCTGTGGTCGGGATGCTAACCAATGACCCTAGTACTGCCAGGCGGAGGTGCTAACCATTTAGCCACTGTGCTGCCCTACTGTTTGACCATATCTTGTCAAACTTTTACAGACAATTTCTGCTTTCATAGGTTAACTTGTATAAGGGAAGCACCTGAGGAACAGCAGCACACCAGGTAGATGAAGTAGGAAGAATAGGGGGTTTCCAGTGTAGGGGGATTTCTTCTCTTGCATAAAAAGGTGAGAAACGTAAAAAAGAAACTGCTTGCCATAGCGACTCACTACTACATTTTTCGTTCTACTCAGCAAGAGAAATAGAGGATCCAAATGCAAAGTGACTTCACAGATCCTATTAAGGACCTCAACTACTGAAACCCAGAAAGGTGGGCTTAGAGCTCAGGGCCACTGTGTATGTAGGAAGTCGCCCGTGCCTGCATTTGTAATCCGCCAAGTAGAGGAGGTGGAGAGGGAATACTGGTGATGTTGGTGCCAGTGTCTGCGATGTGGAGCAGTGATGAGCTGGAAGTACAATGGTAGCTATACCATGTGGCAGGGCTTGGATTTCACTTTCATAACAGATAAAAGTAAGGCAGCAGCAGAGTTGGGCTTCAAGTCATGGGCCAGGTATTACTATAATCCCTCATTCGAAAGGTTTAGAGCTTTTGTACATGACCTTGACATTGTGCTTTGTAAATGCGTTTTGTATATTGTGTGCCACGGATACCCATTGAATAATACAGACTTGGTGATATCATTTCTATTGGTTTTTTTGTTTCTACAGAGGAGCCTCCCTGCCTTGCGCCAGCTGACCCCTGACTCGGCAGCCTTTATCCAGCAGAGTCAGCAGCAGCAACCGGCCACCCAGGCCACGACGACCCTCACCGCAGTCATGCTGAACAGCTCCGTACAGCGAACAGCTGGCAAGACCACTGCCACCGTCACAAATACATTACAACAGCCTGTCATCAGCCCCGCACAACCTGCACAGTCTAAACTTGGCCAACCAACTCCACTGGTGAGTCACTTTTCAGAAACCAATTTCTTAGGACAAAAAAAAAAAAAAAGATAAACTCTCATCCACTTCAGCTTCTCACAAGCTACTCCAGCTTTGGTTAGACAACTGAGGCTACTTTGACTCTGTGCTCTGGTCACTCCTTCCCCTATGAGTCAAAGTGCAGGAGCTGTTTCATGTGGAATTACTGCACAGATCTACAAGAAATACACACAAAGGACACCGAGAGGTCTATGTATAAAAATAAATTGCTGTACTAATGTGATGAACATTTGTACATCCATAATGAGAAATCCCTGTAACTATTCTCTATGACAGGGGTGTCAAACCTGCGACCCTCCAGCTGTTGGGAAAACTACAAGTCCAATCATAAGAAATAGTGCAGCGCTGTTATATGAATCTGTAAAGCATTGTGAGTCAAGCAATACTGCAATATAAGTACACTATATTCAGGTGCAAACGGTGGTATACTACCACCAGTAAATAGTTAGAACGTCAATCAGAAAGAATGAATCCAAATTGTAGACTTGTAGGTCATATCAGATCTGAATTCTAGGAGTTCAGTTCCTTATAATCAATGTTGTGATGAAAAGACGAGAAATATGTGAATTGCGCACTCACCAGAAGTGCGCTATCAAAACACATTTGAGATCATAATCGTCTCATCGGGTCAGCCAGGACAATCACTTCCAGGTATGGTCAGGTTCCTGCACCTTTAAGGACCCCTCAAATGGTACCACTGTCTCAGGACACTTCTAAACTGGCCTCTGTGAATGGTGAGATTCGCAAAGAGCCCAAGAGTAATGCCACATAGCGTGATACTGCATTCAATAGGGTATTTATTCCAACAAAGGTGCAAAACATACAAGGAAAGAATAAACCAAAAAACTGACCGTGTGTGAAGATGGCCGCCAACGGCGGCAAGGCGGCAGGATGCTGTAGCCCCTGACCTTGACGCGTTTCGTGCGAGGCCGGTTTAGAAGTGTCCTGAGACAGTGGTACCATTTGAGGGGTCCTTAAAGGCACAGGAACCTGACCATACCTGGAAGTGATTGTCCTGGCTGACCCGATGAGACGATTATGATCTCGAATGCGTTTTGATAGCGCACTTCTGGTGAGTGCGCAATTCACATATTTCTCGTCTTTTCATCACAACATTGATTATAAGGAACTGAACTCCTAGAATTCAGATCTGATATGACCTACAAGTCTACAATTTGGATTCATTCTTCCTGATTGACGTTCTAACCATTTACTGGTGGTAGAATACCACCGTTTGCACCTGAATAATATTGTACTTATATTTGCAGTATTGCTTGACTCACAATGCTTTACAGATTCATATAACAGCGCTGCACTATTTCTTGTATATTATCCACTTTTAGAGGTTTTATGGTACCTTTAGGTGTCCTAGCTGCTGTCGCTTTCTAATAGCGCTCGCATAGCCTCACTTTTGACAAGTCCCATCATGCCTCTGCCTTTGGGAGTCGTGCTTGTAACTGTCAGTCCCTCATGGGACTTGTAGTTTGGCAACAGCTGGAGGGCTGCCAGTTTGACACCCGTGTTCTAAAGCAATAAGCACCGTCCAGTGACCATATTCTGGTATATTTCCTAAAATATCCCCATCAGGAAAAATACATTATTGTCACTGGATGGTGTTTAAGATTATAGGAAATAATCGTATTACGCAAAATATGGGACTTTTCTCATTGTGGGTGTGAATGTTTGGCACGTTCGTGCAGCAGATTTTTTTGTACGTAGTCTCCCAAGATTTAAGTGAGCATACCCATTCCTCTGGTATTTAAAAAACAAAACCCTTTTTAGCCCAGATTTTTTCTTTAGGAAACCATTCACAATTGAGAGGGAAATGCACATTACGATTTCTATTTCATCTCATCCCTTACATGCACAGACGCACAGATATCTGACACAGATGATTCGGTTGATGTGCACTATGATGGATCTGAGTAGAGTTCACCTGTCAAATGTTAGATCAGCTGCCATGTGGCCTCATCCACCAATACCAGGTGATTACAGAATAACCCAGCCTGTTACCTATACTAATGTAGTTTTGTTCTTTTTTGTTTCTCTCTTTTCAGGTTATCCAGCAGGCACATAAAGCTGGGGCCGTTGTACGACACCAACAGGTCACATTGACCCAAACGCCCATGGTAGCACTTAGACCGCCTCAAAGCCGAATTATGCTCACCACTCCACAGCAGATACAGCTAAACCAGCTGCAGACAGGTTAGTCTGACTGACCCAAAGAGATGCGTCACACAGTGGGATAGATTTACTAGAACTGGTGCAGCTGTACATGGTGGCCAATCAGACTCTAACCTCAGCTTGTTCAATTGAGCTTTGGCAATAAAACCTGGAAGCTGATTGGTTTCTATGCAGAAGTGAGTCTGACTTTGCACTCTCCAGCTTTAGTAAATAAACCTCAGTGTTACCAGTGTGTGACTGCAACTGCACACCTCATGAGGCATATAGTGCTTAAGGCTAGGTTCCCACCTATGCAGGTTGTGTTTTGCGTTTTTTTTGCCGCTTTTTTGATGCGTTTTGCGTGTTTTTTTTTTTATTTCTTGTTGCTAGGCAGATTTAAAACGCATCAAAAGCGTGGCATAAACGCATCAAAAATGCAGCAAACACGCACTACATGCTTTTCTGCAGCGTTTTCATTGAAGTCTATAGAACAAAAAACGCAACTTTTTGCATTCAAAAAAGTCCCTGACCCTTTCCAAAAAACGAGCATGTCCCATAGGAGATCATGGTAAATGGACTGTACTGCGTTTCTGCAAAACATTCTGCAAAATACTTAGGTGTGAACCTAGGGTAATAGATCTTTGTGATTGGGACATGATCAGGTGACTGTTAGGATGACTGTAGGTGTCTTTATACATACAGCGTTCATTGGTAAATTGGCAATATGCAAAAACACTGAAGGGGAGAGCTGAGGAGGTTTTATTTATTTCAGGTACTTACATAGCGCCGTCAATTTACTCAGCGCTTTACATATATATTGTACATTCACATCAGTCCCTAACCCTCAAGGGGTGTACAATCTAAGGTCCCTAACCCTGTACAATCTAAGGGGGGGGCGTACAATCTAACCCTCAAGGGGCCAATCTAAGGTCCCTAACCCTCAAGGGGAGTACAATCTAAGGTCCCTAACCCTCAAGGGGCGTACAATCTAAGGTCCCCCTCAAGGGGTACAATCCCCTAACCCTCAAGGGGCGTACAATCTAAGTACCCTCAAGGGGTGTACAATCTAAGGTCCCTAACCCTCAAGGGGTGTACAATCTAAGGTCCCTAACCCTCAAGGGGTGTACAATCTAAGCTCCCTAACCCTCAAGGGGCGTACAATCTAAGGTCCCTAACCCTCAAGGGTCCCTAACCCTCAAGGGGCGTCCAATCTAAGGTCCCTAACTTACATTCATACATACACATACTAGGGACAATTTAGACAGGAGCCAATTCACCTACCAGCATGTCTTTGGAGTGTGGGGGAAGAAGGAGGACCGGGAAGAAACCCACGCAGGCACAGGGAGAACATGCAAACTCCAGGCAGGAGGTGCCGTGGTTGGGATTCGGACCAACGACCCGAGTACTGCCAGGTGGAAGTGCTAACCATTTAGCCACTGTGCTGCTAGGAGTAGTACCAGGAAAGAGCAGAGACTTGGAGCCCCTTGAGAGGAGGACAGGTAGGTATCTGTCAGAGGCGTCACAAAGAGTAGTAGTGGCCATTGCATTTAGCAGGTAATTGGTGGGTTTTGGAGGGCAAGTTGCCTCATAGTTGCAGGACCTCGTTAGCCTTTTCCACTGAACAGTGGATTGTGTTCCCTTCTAAAGGTGTTCATTGTGTTTCCAGACAACAGTGTACATTGTACATGGGGTATTTTTTATACAGTAAATTGTAACTAAATCAGTGTGACAATAGTGTACTCATGCTGTCATTGAGATGTCACGCAGCCCTCTCATAGTTTAGTTGCCGGCTGCGCCGTGCGAGGCAGTGGATTGCTTTCACGCTGTACTGTATCGATCGCAGTGGTGTGAACTGGGCACATGGCAGACATGGGGTTGTGTGAGGCAAGGGGTAACGTTCATTAACATGCACTTAATGCATTCTCTCTATTTTTCCTCTGTCCAGTCCCAGTGGTAAAACCGAATGTTGTAGCTGGCACGAAAGCCTTTCCCACGGCGGCAGCAATGCAAGCAGCAGCAGCGCAGAAAAACAAATTAAAAGAACCGGGGGGAGGATCGTTCCGGTAAGTAGAACAAAAAAGTTATAACACCAAATATATGTGTAACTGTGTGGTACAACCAGGGGCGGACTGACAACTCATGGGGCCCCCATGCAATAGGGGGTCATGGGGCCCCTGTGTCCTTGCCCAAACTCAAAAAAGCCTTCGAAAAAGGTACCAGGGGCATCTCATGGGGCCCCCTACTGACCCCGGGCCCTTGGGCAGTGCCCGAGTTTCCAAATGGTCAGTCCGCCCCTGAGTACAGCTGTATTTCTACCAAAAGGAAGGAAAGCTCAGCTTAGCTGGACCACACAGAGCAGCAACTAATGAATGAGTCCGTGAACTGCTAATAATATGCAGACAGCCTTGCAGGTATATGTGTGTGTGTTTGTGTGTATATGCATGTATGTATGTATGTGTGTGTACATATGAGAGATATATATATATATGTGTGTGTATGTATGATATATATATATGTATGTATGTATGTATTTTTACAGTGGGGATCGAAAGTTTGGGCACCCCAGCTAAACATTTGTATTAATCTGCATAAAGAAGCCAAGGAAAGATGGAAAAATCTCCAAAAGGCATCAAATTACAGATTAGACATTCATATAAATATGTCAACAAAAGTTAGATTTTATTTCCATCATTTACACTTTCAAAATAACAGAAAACAGAAAAATGGCGTCTGCAAAAGTTTGGGCACCCTGCAGAATTTATAGTATGCACTGCCCCCTTTGCCAAGCTGAGACCTGCCAGTGTCATGGATTGTTCTCAATCATTGTCTGGGAAGACCAGGTGATGTCAATCTCAAAGGTTTTAAATGCCCAGACTCATCTGACCTTGCCCCAACAATCAGCACCATGGGTTCTTCTAAGCAGTTGTCTAGAAAACTGAAACTGAAAATAGTTGATGCTCACAAAGCTGGAGAAGGCTATAAGAAGATAGCAAAGCGTTTTCAGATGTCAATATCCTCTGTTCGGAATGTAATTAAGAAATGGCAGTCATCAGGAACAGTGGAAGTTAAAGCAAGATCTGGAAGACCAAGAAAAATATCAGACAGAACAGCTCGCAGGATTGTGAGAAAAACAATTCAAAACCCACGTTTGACTGCACGATCCCTCCAGAAAGATCTGGCAGACACTGGAGTTGTGGTACACTATTCCACTATAAAGAGATACTTGTACAAATATGGTCTTCATGGAAGAGTCATCAGAAGAAAACCTCTTCTACGTCCTCACCACAAAAAATCATCGTTTGAACTTTGCAAATGAACATATAGACAAATGAAACAATGAATGAAAGTGAGCGCTTTCTAAAGACGAGCAGCTAGAACACACAGGACAACCAAAAAATCCTCACATGGAACTAAGTAAAAAGTGCAGCGCTAGAAAATAAAAAGATAAAAATAAAAAATAAATAAAAAATAAATAGTCAGTATGCTTGATAGGTACTCCAAAGTCAATACAAAGTCCCAAAAGGAATGATGTATATACTGTGGTAAAGATGTAGTTGAAGATAGGTAGATGTGATCCCCGAATCAGTGAAGATCCCCAGGTCTAAGAGGCATACGTTCCCAAGATGAAATAAGGAAGCAGTCACAGCTATATCGGAGGGAACCACCACTCCTTCACTTTACATCCACCGGTATCTAAGAGGAGAAACTCCTCACAAAAAGAAATGCCCATAGTAAGGTATAATATATGACATTTATTAGAGTAAAACGCAGGATGCATCCAGATTAGGTAAAATCATAACACCGCCAACAAATATTAGCATTAGCAGCCAAAGCAAACAGGACTAACCGTCCTGTCAGATGTAGTGGCCGCCGGAGCTCCCCAGTGCTCCGACGGCGTGGCGTCAAGGCGTACGTAGGTTCCTCCTTACGCGTTGCGTGCCAAGCACATCTTCAGAGGAAAGAACCGGTATGATACCGGTTCTTTCCTCTGAAGATGTGCTTGGCACGCAACGCGTAAGGAGGAACCTACGTACGCCTTGACGCCACGCCGTCGGAGCACTGGGGAGCTCCGGCGGCCACTACATCTGACAGGACGGTTAGTCCTGTTTGCTTTGGCTGCTAATGCTAATATTTGTTGGCGGTGTTATGATTTTACCTAATCTGGATGCATCCTGCGTTTTACTCTAATAAATGTCATATATTATACCTTACTATGGGCATTTCTTTTTGTGAGGAGTTTCTCCTCTTAGATACCGTGGATGTAAAGTGAAGGAGTGGTGGTTCCCTCCGATATAGCTGTGACTGCTTCCTTATTTCATCTTGGGAACGTATGCCTCTTAGACCTGGGGATCTTCACTGATTCGGGGATCACATCTACCTATCTTCAACTACATCTTTACCACAGTATATACATCATTCCTTTTGGGACTTTGTATTGACTTTGGAGTACCTATCAAGCATACTGACTATTTATTTTTTATTTATTTTTTATTTTTATCTTTTTATTTTCTAGCGCTGCACTTTTTACTTAGAACATATAGACAAGCCTGATGCATTTTGGAAACAAGTTCTGTGGACCGATGAGGTTAAAATTGAACTTTTTGGCCGGAATGAGCAAAGGTACGTTTGGAGAAGAAGGGACACAGAATTTAATGAAAAGAACCTCTGTCCAACTGTTAAGCATGGGGTTGGATCAATCATGCTTTGGGGTTGTGTTGGAGCCAGTGGCACAGGGAACATCTCACGAGTAGAAGGAAAAATGGATTCAATAAAATTTCAGCAAATTTTGGATGGTAACTTGATGCCATCGTGAAAAAGCTGAAGTTAAAGAGAGGATGGTTTCTACAAATGGATAATGATCCTAAACACACCTCGAAATCCACGGGGGATTACATCAAGAGGCGTAAACTGAAGGTTTTGCCATGGCCTTCACAATCTCCTGACCTCAACATAATTGAAAATCTATGGATAGACCTTAAAAGAGCAGTGCGTGACAGACAGCCCAGAAATCTCAAAGAACTGGAAGACTTTTGTAAGGAAGAATGGGCAAAGATACCTCAAACAAGAATTGTAAGACTCTTGGCTGGCTACAAAAAGCGTTTACAAGCTGTGATACTTGCCAAAGGGGGCAGTACAAGATACTTACTCTGCAGGGTGCCCAAATGTTTGCAGACGCCATTTTGTTGTTTTCTGTTATTTTGAAAGTGTAAATGATGGAAATAAAATCTAACTTTTGTTGACATATTATAAGAATGTCTAATCTGTAATTTGATGCCTTTTGGAGATTTTTCCATGTTTCCTTGGCTTCTTTATGCACATTAATACAAATTTTTAGCTGGGGTTCCCAAACATTCGATCCCCACTGTATGTATGTGTTTATGTGTATATAGATAAAACCCCCTCTCTATTTATCTAAAAACGCCTTTTCTTACCTTTTTTTTTTTTTTTGCTTGGAAGTACCCTTGAATCTCAGGGAACCCCTGCTGAAACATATCCACAACTCGCGGTACATTTGCATGATCAGTAAAATGTAGATATATTGATAGTCATAAGGAATGTGTGGCGTACCTTTTTTAACATTTTTGACACCAAATTTTTAAATGACCTACAAGTACATTTTATTTTTATGGCCGGATCCACTATTACCTTGACAATTCCTATTTTATTTTAATAGTTGTTACTTTTCTTGTTTCTCCCTCACAGGGATGACGATGACATCAACGACGTGGCTTCCATGGCGGGAGTGAACCTGTCAGAGGAAAGTGCGCGGATATTGGCAACAAATTCCGAGTTAGTGGGGACGTTAACGCGGTCCTGTAAAGACGAATTGTTCCTGCTCCCTGCGGTATTGCAGAGACGAATACTGGAGATCGGTACGTCTGGCCCATTGTACAGTGCAATAAAATTGCAGCTTTTTATGTAATTATGTTATTGGGTTTCTGAAAATTGAAGCCGATACATTTGAAAAATAACGGATGTCTACCCCTGTCTAAGCTGATTTGCAGTTTACACAGGGATCAGTCATGTATATGATATGCATGCGGAGTTCCACTCACACTGTCAAAAAATACAAGTCAGCAGCTACAAAAATGTAGCTGCAGACTTTTAAAAAAACAGCCAGTTACCTGTCCCAGGATCCCGCGGTGTCCTCCCTGCAGCCCGTTTCACCGGCCGTCCTGTGTTTCAGGCGCCAACATCTTCAGTGTGGGTACCTGGCTGTGACAGCGTGTGGCTTCAGGATGCCCACTGCACATGTGCGAGTAGCACTGCGCTTGCTGAATGGCCCCGTAGTCTTCTGGGACCTGTCACGTGTCCTAGAAGACTACGGGGAGGTAGGAGGACAACTCACACTTCAGATCGCCTAGGCAATTGCAGTGGAAGTGGGAGCAGGTACCTGTCAATTTCGGGTACCCACTCCCGCCCAAACCCCCCCCCGCTCCCCAAAGGTGCCAATCCTTAATGGGGAGCAGGGGACCAGTCTTCAAAGCGGAACTTCTCCTTTTAGGTGGAGCTCTGCTTTAAGTTGGTCCTGAACTTTAGCTTAAAAAAACCCATTAAAGTGGTTGTAAAGGCTGAGGATTTTTTTTCCTTCATGCATTCTATGCATGAAGGTAAAAACACCTGTGTACAGCAGATATCCCAGCCCCCTCAATACGTACCTGAGCCTCATCTCGATCCAGCGATGTGAATGACAGCCTCATCTTCCCTGGGTCTCTGCCACCTCATTGGCTGAGACAGCAAGTGGGTGCCATTGACTCCTGCGGCTGTCAATCACATCCAATCAGCCAATGAGGAGAAGGGGGGGAGGGAAGCAAGCCACGGCTCCTTGTGTGAATGGACACATGGAGCGGCAGATGCCCCATAGCAAGCTGCTTGGTGTGGGGGCACCCAACAGACAGGAGGAGCCGGGAGAGCTTGCGGGGGACCAGAGAAGAGGAGGTTCTAGGCTGCTCTCTGCAAAACCATTACACAGAGCAGGTAAGTGTAGACATATTTGTTTGTTTTTTTTCTTAAATTAACCTTTAGAATCGCTTTAAAGCAGTAGTAAACAAAAAAAAAAATTGGGCCCCTGCTGAATAATGTCATAATGTATTACTATGCACTGGTACACAATTAGATATTTGTACCTTCAGGTGGGCATTATTGTAGGCTTACCTGTAGATATAAATCAAAAAGCAGGCTTTTGTAAGGCAGCAGGATCACCTCCTGTATGCCTGGCAGTAGAGATTGACGTGTGTGGAAAAGTCCTTATTGGGGGGGATTTACTAAGGGCTGGTTCACATTGGATGCATGCAGTCCAGTGCGTTTTTTTTTTTTTTTCTGCATTAAAAATGTGTGCACAGTGTTTTCCATGTATTCTAGTGGCCCTAGTTCGCACCAGTTCAGTCAGTTCAAGTCCGTTTCCAGTGCAGAAAAAAAAAGTATTTTTTCTGCACAGAACTGTACTGGAACGTAGCAAACTGCATCAAAACTACACCGAACAGAATGTGGTGTGAACTGTAAGCAAAAATGTATACGGAGTGCATCCGGTGTGCGTTTTGTGGTGTGAACTGGCCCTGAAGCTGGAGAGTGCAAAATCTGGTGCAGCAACCAATCAGCTTCCAGGTTTTATTGGCAAAGCTTCATTGAACAAGCTGAAGTTAGAAGCTGATTGGCCGCCATGCACAGCTACACCAGATTTTGCACTCTCGGGTTTTAGTAAATCAACCCCGTTGTATTCATGTTGTTTATTTATCAGTGCAAACTTACCCACAAATGGTAATTCGATCATTGGCCGCTATCATTTCAGTGTGACCTTTTTCATTTGTAGGCAAGAAACATGGGATCACGGAAGTCCACCCGGACGTGGTCGGTTATGTCTCACATGCCACACAACAGCGATTACAAAACATTGTAGAGAAAATCTCAGAAACTGCTCAGCAAAAGAACATCTCTCACAAAGTAAGTGTAGGATATTGTCCACCATTTAGCCCCGGAAATGTGCACTGCCATTGTGCTGACTTGGATTGAGAATGTACCACATTAGATTGGAGTGAAGTTAGAAGTACTAAAGAGAATGGATCAGCATCATGGACAACTAGCTGCTCAAATCCCTTCTATCGTACAAACCAAAACTAGTTGTTTCAAGTTTAACCCCTTGGCACCGGCGCCTCCTGTTCCTTTAAGGGTTTCAGGAGGCGGGGGCGGAGTTTTAGGGTCATGTGACTGCTGTGATTCGCTGTCACGGTGGTCACATGATCGGGAAAGGTCCCGATCGAAAAAGGAGATTGGGACCTTTCCGTGAGTACCAGACGTGTGCTGGGAGCGCGCAGGGCACGTGCTCTCAGCGCGCGGCCGCTCGGCGTCAAGGCCCAGACTCCTGCTTCTATTGCGCTGGTCGGGTTATACTTCCGCCTACAGGAGGACTGGACACTGGCAAACAAACAAACAAACATAAGCCAGGATACCCCCAGGACAATCCTTTCTCTCTCTTTTTTTTTTTTTTTTTTTTTTTTTTTCTTTTTTTTTAGGATTATGGGACATCTTTTCTCCAGCTCCAGCCTTTTTATTTTTTCTTTATTATTTGTGGATTCCTCTTCCACCAGCTTCAATCAGGTTGCATCCCTCGTTGCATCATTGCTTGAGCTGGTCTGTACATAACAGTTCTCTGGATCAGTGTATCCTGAGCCTAGCTTTGAAGGCCATACCCAGACATGTAGTGCTTTCCGTACCTGAGTGCACTGATTAAGTTGGCTGTGAAATGCTTTCCAGGTCCACAGCCATGGCGCACAACCCCAGGTGCAACCCAGTCTCTGAAAATTTACTTTGTGAGTAAGGCCATTTGGGTTAAAGCATTGGAAGCTCTCACTATTCACACCTTTGTGAACCTTCTCATCACTGCCCTAAAGAATTACACTGAGGGGCTGAGTGCAGATGTTATCCATTGGGTGGACTTCTCAACATGTGCTCAACTGAATCTGAGTCAGGTATGGTCTCTAGGACTAGTGGCCTGGCCGGATCTAGAGTCCCAACAGTCTATATTACCCAAATTTAAAAAAAAATAGCCAATGATTCAACTTTTTTGATGGAGACAAGGAGATTGGAGGAATAGCCTCAAAAGCTTCCAAACATTCATCTGCTGAAAGAGTATTTAAATCCCATCTCCATCCCACTTCCCCATGATGGCCAGTCAAGGTTGGCAAGCTGAAAGTAAAGTTTGAAATATCTTGACAAACAAACAGGCTTTTTCTGGTCTCTCCTACTTGAGCTATCATTGTGAATAGTGATGGTGATCATTGGGGCTCTCTCTTTGACCCCTTTTACCACCAGCGCCTTATGCCATACATTGGTGGCGGCAGGGGGTTTAACACACTCATGGCATCTGCAGCTGCTGGGAGCGTGTGTAGATTTGGAAACTGACTGTTGGCTGCATTACCATAACTTCTGTTTGCCCCCTTCCCCCGCCCAATCCTCCACCTCCATGCACCCCCACCCAACCCTCGGCCACCCCTCCACCTCCATGCACCCTCGCCACCCTCCACCTCCATGCCCCTCGGCCAGCCCTCCACCTCCATGCACCCTCGGCCAGCCCTCCACCTCCATGCACCCTCGGCCAGCCCTCCACCTCCATGCACCCTCGGCCAGCCCTCCACCTCCATGCACCCTCGGCCACCCTCCACCTCCATGCACCCTCGGCCAGCCCTCCACCTCCATGCACCCTCGGCCAGCCCTCCACCTCCATGCACCCTCGGCCAGCCCTCCACCTCCATGCACCCTCGGCCAGCCCTCCACCTCCATGCACCCTCGCCCAGCCCTCCACCTCCATGCACCCTCGGCCAGCTCTCCACCTCCACCTCGGCCAACCATGCACCCTCGCCCAACCCTCCACCTCCATGCAACCCCTCGCCCCATGCACCCTCGGCCAACCCTCCACCTCCATGCACCCTCGCCCAACCCTCCACCTCCATGCACCCTCCCTCCACCTCCATGCACCCTCGCCCAACCCTCCACCTCCATGCACCCTCACCATTTTCCCTGGGCTCTGCGCACCCATCAGTTGACAAGGGACCACCATGGCAAGTGCCACCGAGTAGAGGGGAGGGAGATGAGCTAACATTTGTTCTGTGGGTGTTTTTAATGTTCCTCCTGTTTTTGGTGGGTTCTGGTTGCTCAGCTTCTTACTGACTCTGTGGAGCTGTTTCCCTCTGTCAGTGGCTATTCATCATCTTAGCCTGGAACATCAAGTGGATTCTTCATGCTCTCACCTTGGTTGTGTTAACGGGTTCCCCTATCTATTAGAAGGCCTGGCCATTCAGGTTTGGATGTTGGTTCTTTAAGCAGCTACTAGCTCCAGTCCTCCTGGGCATGTTGGTTGTATTTGCTTCTCTGTACTTCTTATAAAATCCATTTCTTGGAGTCCATTGAGGAACACAAGTCTCTTCCCTGTGTTTTTTGCTCATGCCCTTAGTATTGCTTTATCACACAACGAAGACACACTGAGTAAAGGAGGGGTTGTAGTAAAGGACTGGCTTACATTTTTTCTGTTTGCCCATGTTCTGCCCCCTCCTTAGGTGACAGTATAGCCCCAAATATATCTGAATTCCTGAGTCCCTCAATGGACGGTAAAAATGAATTTTACGAAACGTTTACTCCCATTACGCACAGATCTTAACGTGTTACTAAACCCACAACAGTAACATCAGTCTGTATATGCAGTAAAGCATGCTTGTTATACTCACTGTGGAACATAAGGGGTTAATTCTCTGCATTGTGTAAAAGGCTGTTTGATCCTGTCTTTCCTGCCCCCTCCTCTTGTTGAAATGACCACCTGATAGAGACTGAGCCCGTGGTCACATGCACATGCTCATTTGGTGTGTATTATTTTTTTTTTTTTTTTGGTGGGTGCATGTGATCAGCACAGGGCCAATCAGCACTGTCCAGACAGAGGTCAGGGATTCTGCATCCTCCTAGAGCAGAAAGGAAACTCCTACAAGCTTTAACCAGTGCTCTGCTGGAGTCACAAGACTGCTCTAACTGCTGATGAGAAAAGATATTTAGCAGTTTATGTTTACTAAAATAATTGCATTTCCATGTTCTGTGTACTGTTGGAGACCAGATATAGTGAATGCAGGGTCCTGGGGGACCAGATATAGTGAATGCAGGGTCCGGGGAGACCGGATATAGTGAATGCAGGGTCCGGGGAGACCGGATATAGTGAATGCAGGGTGCCGGGAATGCAGACCGGATATAGTGAATGCAGGGTCCGGGGAGACCGGATATAGTGAATGCAGGGTCCGGGGAGACCGGATATAGTGAATGCAGGGTCCGGGCAGACCGGATATAGTGAATGCAGGGTCCGGGGAGACCGGATATAGTGAATGCAGGGTCCGGGGAGACCGGATATAGTGAATGCAGGGTCCGGGGAGACCGGAATGCATATAGTGAATGCAGGGTCCGGGGAGACCGGATATAGTAGTGAATGCAGGGTGCGGGGAGACCGATATAGTGAATGCAGGGTCCGGGGAGACCAGATATAGTGAATGCAGGGTCCGGGGAGACCAGATATAGTGAATGCAGGGGGTCCGGAGAGACCAGATATAGTGAATGCAGGATCCGGGGAGACCAGATATAGTGAATGCAGGATCCGGGTCCGGGGAGACCAGATATAGTGAATGCAGGGTCCGGGGAGACCAGATATAGTGAATGCAGGGTCCGGGGAGACCAGATATAGTGAATGAAGGGTCCTGGGTTTAGTAACACTTTAATCTTCTTTTAAAATAATTCAGTTTATCTGTAGAATGTAGGGTGGCGATTTAAAAACCCATACGGACAAGTGGGTCCTAATCCTGACTTACTGTACATGACGTGGACTGTTCACTACCAGATCTTCTGATTTATTCTACCGTGTAACTGCTGAATTTCTACGTTTTGATATTTAAAAATCTCTCATCACATTGCTGCCTCGCTTGTTATTGAAATGTATTGGTAGCCTAGGCTGCATGTGGATGGATCCCAAGTCCCTGGTGGCAGCAGTGTCATTCTGTTTACACATTGGTAGAATGTTTGCTGCATACTTGATTTTTTATTTTATATCCAATGTCTTTTTGCTGCAGGAGGACGATCGGTACGAGCAGACAAGTGATGTTCGGACGCAACTTAAGTTCTTTGAACAACTCGACCAGCTAGAAAAACAGAGAAAAGATGAACAGGAGAGAGAAATTCTCATGCGGGCAGCGAAGGTTTGTGTTCTGCTTGCTATTGCTTTAGAACATGCTGACACGCTGTCTACCTGTGCCAAGTAGTTCCTTCACCTTCCAGTGACCAGTTAGCTACATGCTTTCTATCCCTTCTGTTTGTTAATTTGTGAATGAACACGGAAGTGCTCAATAATAGTGTTCAGTAGTAAGTACATGGTGTCGCAAAAAAAAGGCGATTGCATACTGGAAGTGAAGGGTTATCTCCCCAATGAGTGTGTTTGGGGGAGAAAAAAGTATCCTTCCTTACACTAGCCAAGATGGGGAAAAAAAACACTTTTTTTAGTTCTATGTCTAATGCAGGCCATAGATGGGTCGAAAACCGGCTAGTTTTTTTTTATAAAAAAAACACGAAAAATTGGTTGTTCGATCGGCCAACGTTACCACCAACGGTAAAAAAAATTTTCATCCTGAATTTTCAGGATGAAAATCAGGCCGCTTTTCATCCTGTCTACGGCCGGCATTTAATTACTTCTGACCCTGCAGAGAGCTCCGCTATTATATTTTATATGAAAAATCTTGCGGTTGCAACAATGTATCTATTTGTATCCATTTTGGGTACAGATGTTTTTATTCGGATTCAAATAGATACATAGTTGCAACCGCAAGATTTTTCATATAAAATATAATAGCGGACTGGAATTCTTCTTCTTCTTTCTTCCTTCTTCTTCTTCTTCTCTTCTCCTTCTTCTTCTTCTTCTTCTCCTCCTTCTCCCTTCTTCTCTCATGCGCAGGTTTTTTTATCGGTAAAAACGATCAGCCGATTTGCCCATCATTGCTGGGAAAGTCGGCCGATCGTCAAAATCGGCCGCAAATTTTCCAACTTTACCGATAAAAAAAAATGTGCCAAAAAAAACCAGCCGACCAATTAACCCAATAACGGTGCGAAAATCGGCCGATTTTTGACCCGTCTATGGCCTTCATAAGTCTAACTCCAGGTTTTGTCTCTTTAACCACTTCCTGTCCGGACACTTTCACCCCCTTCCTGACCAGGGCAATTTTCAGCTTTTAGCGCTATCACACTTTGAATGACAATTGCGCGGTCATGCAACACTGTACCCAAATGAATTTTTTACCATTTTTTTTGAGACAGATAAAGCTTTATTTTGGTGGTATTTATTCACCACTGGGATTTGTATTTTTTTTGCTATGTAAATGAAATGTCCAAAAATTTTGAAAAAAAGTTTTTTTTTTTATAAAATTTTGCAAATAAATAATATTTCATCATAAATCTTAGCCAAAATTTATTCCATTATCTTTTTAGTAAAAAAAAAAAAAAATCCAAATTAGTTCATAAGCAAAAATTTATAATTTTTAAACATTTTTTTTTTACATTTTTATTTTATTTTTTTATATTATTATTTTTTTATTTATTTATTTTTTTTACATACGGTCACCCTAGCAGTACAGTGTCACCATGGCGACACTGTACTACTTGTGGGGGGTGATGAAGATTTTTTTTTTTTTTTTTTACACTGATTGCTTTTACACCCATATAGGATGTAAAAGCAATCATTTCTCTTTCTCTCTGTTTGCATTCTTGCAGTCATTGAGAAATACTGAGTGAGCTGTGATTGGTCACACCTTGTCACATGGTACAAGGCTTTTGTGAATAGCCTTGTACCATGTGACCTCTGTGATCATTCACAGATTTCACACGTAGTAAGCAATGATGTCACAAGTGACATCTTGCTTACTACTTTGCATGTGATCACTGATTGGCCAATCGGTGATCACATGATCGGGACCTCGTACAGAGGTCCCGTCCGACGATCGGTGTTTCACTGTGTCCGGAGGACACAGTGGGCACCGGATCGCGGTGCTGCGCGCTCCCAGGGAGCGCACACAAGCAGGGTGCAGGGAGGCCGTTTATAGACGGCCACCCGACCCTGCAGTGCCACCGTCCGGCCGTTTATATACAACGGCCGGACGGGAAGTGGTTAAATAGATTAGGTCAAACTGGCCCAAATTCTTCCCTTTACTAAGTGATGCGGGTGCTGTCAGCATTATATCGTGTTGTAGTAGCATCAGCATCCAAAATCAAGTCCTGCTGAGTGCTTCTCAGTCCTTCACAGCGTTGTATTTGTATCAGTGAGTAATTGGGGTCATTTTCTCTTCCTTCCTGAGTGGTCTTTGACTTTGTGAAGAAATATTTTTTTTTGTAAGACTATTGTCGGGGTGATGTTCTTTTAAAATGTATGAATTTTATACAAAATATGTGCAGGTAATAAAGCTGATAATTCTTTTACAAAAATGTTCTCTTGGATATATGTGTAATATTTCATTGCTACAATAAAGTCCCACTGGGGGGTCTTTTGGAAAATGAATACAAGGCTTCCTTTGATTGGCTGAGGTAGAGTTTGGGAATTAATCCGCCCACCTCTCCAGCTTGGCCCAAACAAACTAAGGTGACAGAAAACCTGGAGGCTTTACCTAACCAAGAAGCTTGACACTTTACCTGTCCAAACACTCGACCTTTTGGTGCTGGCCGAACGTAAATGTGCGGCCTTCCGGCGTCTGGGCCTTGACGCCGAGCGGCCGCACATTTGCATGCAATTAAGAAAAACATATTTGCTGAGAGCGCGCGCTCCCAGCACACGTGTCCGGTACTCACAGAAAGACCCCGATCTCCTCTTGGGATCGGGACCTTTCCCAATCATGTGACCAATGTAACCGCGAATCACGGTGGTCACATGACCCTAAAACCCCGCCTCCTGAAACCCTTAAAGGGCCAGGAGGCGCCGGCGCCAAGGGGTTAAAGAAGAATTCCAGGTATATTTTATGCATGTTACATTGGGCCAGCTTGGATTAATGTAGCTATGTATATACCATACCTGTGGGAACCGTCTAGAGCTGGAAATCACTGTAGTAGACACCGATGCGTCTGTGATCTCCTCTAACTTCTGGATCCTGTGTGGAGTTGCTGCCCTGCTGCATTCCTGAACATAGGAAGTCGCCTACTTGGCCAGGGCACCATTCAGGAACACTGTGCATTTTCTCAGTGAATGCAAAGCATGCTCTGATTAGATGAGGTGGAGAGTGTTAGTCACTGCCCTGCCTCCTCCCTCCTTGTCTAATCAGAGAATGCTTTCCATTTATTGAGGGAAATGGATCTCTGAATGGTTCCAGCTCTGAGCGGGCAACCTCCTGTGCTCACAATGCAGCAGGGAAGCCACACGGGGAAAAAAGCGAATGGAGATCGCTGGTGTAGCAATGCCTAATACAGTGATTTCCAGCTTCTAAAAGGGATCTGACAGGTATGGTATCTGCGTAGTTACAGCGTGCAGACTGTTGGTGCTATATAAATCCTGTATAATAGTAATAATACATTGGTCAAAGCTGGAGCGATGTCATTGTGGAAACATATCCATGCCTGAAATTCGTCTTTAAAACTTAACCTCACCCAAACCTTGAGGTCAAGTGTAAAAGGTTGCTTGCGTCACGCTGCGCTTGTCAGTTTTGTAATGACCTGCTTAGCAAGGTGCTCTGGGTTTTAGGGGTCCGCAAGTGCAGTAAAAGGAGGCACATCGGTGAGTAAGCATCAGGAGGTCACTATAAAAGGTTCTCTAGGATGACCACATTTACCTGAATCTATGAAGGAAAAAAGACCAACCTTCCTCCTAAAGCTGACCTCTGTGCTGCGGGTTGCTGTGTGTAGAATGTGATTTACAATATTCAGCTGTAATATATATACAACCTTTTTGTAAATTAAATTAATAAAATAAAAATCAATTTCAAATGGACAAACATATAATGTGCAACAAAGTCCCACTGATCAAAAAAATGTCCAAAAAAGTCCAAAATAGTGTCCACAAATCTCCCAAATGTATTCACTCTTTTCCTCCACTGAAAGAATTGGCTGCTATTCCATCCAAAACGCACCTCAAAGTAAGATATAAAAAGAATATCTAGTGCATTACCTCAATAATAATAAACAATAATCACCCCGTGCAACCAAAATACACTTCAAAAACACTTATAGTGAGGAAAAAAAAAAATTAAGAAAGGTTTTTTTTTCCTTTAATAAACCTTTCTTAATAAATTTTTTTTTTTTTTTTTCTCTCACTATAAGTGTTTTTGAAGTGTATTTTGGTTGCACGGGGTGATTATTGTTTATTATTATTGAGGTAATGCACTAGATATTCTTTTTATATCTTACTTTTGAGGTGCGTTTTGGATGGAATAGCAGCCAATTCTTTCAGTGGAGGAAAAGAGTGAATACATTTGGGAGATTTGTGGACACTATTTTGGACTTTTTTTGGCCTTTTTTGGACATTTTTTTGATCAGTGGGACTTTGTTGCACATTATATGTTTGTCATTTGAAATTGATTTTTATTTTATTAATTTAATTTACAAAAAGGTTGTATATATATTATTGCACTTTCTAGGGAGATAGTATTGACTTTTTGAGGTTTATAAGGGTTTTTTTTGATTGAATATTCAGCTGTGCTGATAACACATTGAATGAAATGCAGATTTGTCGACTGACTTTTGTGCTCCTTTCACAGTCTCGGTCACGGCAGGAAGATCCAGAGCAGTTACGGTTAAAACAGAAAGCAAAGGAAGTGAGTGCCACCCTTGATGACTACTTACCTCTCGCTGTTTCAGCTGCAGTCTGCTCATTTCTTTTTCTTCTGTCCTTTTCTACAGATGCAGCAACAGGAATTGGCACAAATGAGGCAAAGAGATGCAAACTTAACGGCGTTAGCAGCTATCGGCCCTCGAAAAAAGAGGAAAGTGGAGTCCCCGGGCCCTGGTTCAGGGTCAGAGGTATGTATCTGTTCTAGATCTACCTTTTTAGCGGGTGATTGCTGGCACCACGTGGTAACCCGGCGGTATGTGGTTATGATCACGTCACACAGCTGCATTTTGTGAGCGCTTCACCAGCTTTCCCAATTGTGCCAGACAAAAAGTGAATGCGATTTTGATGACATCTGAGTACTAAAAGGGGGAAGAGGCTCTTGCCTAATAAAAATAATTTCCACTGAGAACTAGAGGTGATTGTAGCCGTATTAGTGCACTTGTGACAGAAACCATTGAGTGCTATCCGTGATACATTTTTTATTTGCACTAACATACAATTTTGAAGACGAGCTTTCATTGTATGTTCCCGTATTCAGGGTAGTACTGCCTGGACCTTGAAGAAGGGGACATACCCCAAAAGATCCTCCTCAAAATTGTATGTTAGTGCAAATAAAAAATGTATCACGGACAGGACTCAATTGTTTCTATCACTGAGATCTAGAACATGGAAATCCTGTGGACACTCACCTGCTGCTGTGGGAATGTCCCACGCGGAACTGCCACCAATCCTGATATAAGCTGATATAGTGAATGCAGGGTCCGGGGAGAGTGGATATAGTGAATGCGGGGTCCGGGGAGAGTGGATATAGTGAATGCAGGGTCCGGGGAGAGTGGATATAGTGAATGCGGGGTCTGGGGAGACCAGATATAGTGAATGCAGGGTCCGGGGGAGACCAGATATAGTGAATGCAGGGTCCGGGGAGACCAGATATAGTGAATGCAGGGTCCGGGGAGACCAGATATAGTGAATGCAGGGTCCGGGAGACCGCATATAGTTAATGCAGGGTCCAGGGAGAGCGCATATAGTGAATGCAGGGTCCAGGGAGAGCGGATATATGAATGCAGGGTCCAGGGAGAGCGGTTATATTGAATGCGGGTCCAGGGAGAGCGGATATAGTGAATGCAGGGTCCGGGAGAGCGGATATAGTGAATGCAGGGTCCAGGGAGAGCGGATATAGTGAATGCAGGGTCCAGGGAGAGCGGTTATATTGAATGCAGGGGTCCGGGGAGAGCGGATATAGTGAATGCAGGGTCCGGGGAGAGCGGATATAGTGAATGCAGGGTCCGGGAGACGGATATATAGTGAATGCAGGGTCCGGGGAGAGCGGATATAGTGAATGCAGGGTCCGGGGAGAGCGGATATAGTGAATGCAGGGTCCAGGGAGAGCGGATATAGTGAATGCAGGGTCCAGGGAGAGCGGATATAGTGAATGCAGGGTCCGGGAGAGCAGATATAGTGAATGCAGGGTCCAGGGAGAGCAGATATAGTGAATGCAGGGTCCGGGAGAGCAGATATAGTGAATGCAGGGTCCAGGGAGAGCGGATATAGTGAATGCAGGGTCCGGGGAGAGCAGATATAGTGAATGCAGGGTCCAGGGAGAGCGGAGATATAGTGAATGCGGGGTCCAGGGAGAACGGATATAGTGAATGCAGGGTCCGGGGGAGAGCGGATATAGTGAATGCAGGGTCCAGGGAGACCAGATATAGTGAATGCAGGGTCCAGGGAGAACCATATATAGTGAATGCAGGGTCCGGGGAGAGAGCGATATAGTGAATGCAGGGTCCAGGGAGAGCGGATATAGTGAATGCAGGGTCCGGGGAGAGCGGATGATGAGCAGATGTAGTGAATGCGGGATCCGGGGAGAGCGCATATAGTGAATGCGGGGTCCGGGGAGAGCGCATATAGTGAATGCGGGGTCCGGGGAGAGCGCATATAGTGAATGCGGGGTCCGGGGAGAGCGCATATAGTGAATGCGGGGTCCGGGGAGAGCGCATATAGTGAATGCGGGGTCCGGGGAGAGCGCATATAGTGAATGCGGGGTCCGGGGAGAGCGCATATAGTGAATGCGGGGTCCGGGGAGAGCGGATATAGTGAATGCGGGGTCCGAGGAGAGCGCATATAGTGAATGCGGGGTCCGGGGAGAGTGCATATAGTGAATGCGGGGTCCGAGAAGAGCGGATATAGTGAATGCTGGGTCCGGGGAGAGCGGATATAGTGAATGCCAGTTCCGGGGTTTAGTAACACTTTAACTGATTCTTCGCTCCCCCCTGGTGGTCAGCATTCCCCTATGCTTCAGCAACATCAACAAGTCCCTCAACATCCCCACGCCAAGTGCAGGGTTTTGCAGTCTTGCTGATGTCAGAGGACTATAGACCACCAGGGTACAAGGGAGAATATTTGGCAGGCACTGATCTAGCAGGATCATAGAAGTAAAATAGCTGTGTCCAGACCCCCTAGACATAGACTAACAGTTAAACCTTGGAGTGCAGGTGTATTTCCACTACAAGGAATTTGCTCTCCTTTTCCTAGAGTTCAGCTTTAGGGGTCTTGGTTCTGAGCCGTAGACAAGCCATTATGTGCTCCTCTTCAGCCAGCAAGACCAACTTGCAGTTCTGAGCATGGGGAAGCATGTGACCTACTCTTCCCTGTTGTTGCCTGGCCCTTGCAGCCAATCGGTAGCCTAGATCATTGTCACCTAACCAGTCGGTGATCTAACTGCTCACCAACACTGCCCCGGCTACAGAGGAGGAAGCTCAGGTAAGGTGAGTAACTAGGTGGTGCTGATGCACTTTGCAATGACACTTTTCTCTGCATTGGGAAGGTGATGTGTCTAAGAACTGGAGATGTGCAGCTTTCTTATATATCATGAGTTAGGGACCTTAGATTGTACGCCCCTTGAGGGTTAGGGTCCGTAGGTTGTACCCCCCTTGAGGGTTAGGGACCTTAGATTGTACGCCCCTTGAGGGTTAGGGACCGTAGATTGTACGCTCCTTGAGGGTTAGGGACCGTAGATTGTACCCCCTTGAGGGTTAGGGACCTTAGATTGTACCCCCCTTGAGGGTTAGGGACCTTAGATTGTACGCCCCTTGAAGGTTAGGGACCTTAGATTGTACCCCCTTGAAGGTTAGGGACCTTAGATTGTACGCCCCTTGAAGGTTAGGGACCTTAGATTGTACCCCCCTTGAGGGTTAGGGACCTTAGATTGTACGCCCCTTGAAGGTTAGGGACCTTAGATTTGTACCCCCCTTGAGGGTTAGAGACTGATGTGAATGTACAATATATATGTAAAGCACTGCGTAAATTGATGGCGCTATATAAGTACCTGAAATAAATAAAATAAATATCACAAGGGTCTTTTTAAAGATCGGACTTTTGAGATACTCTTGGGCCCCTTTCACACAGGGCAGAATCCTCTTTGTTCAGCGGGGGATCTGTCTGCTGAGCATAGTGTGCGGATGACAGATCTGTATCTGCTCCGTTTATGCAGAGCGGACACAGCTCTGGGGGTGGTTGGGTGTACACACACTGGCTGTCCATTTACAGCTGACTGACCTTTGATCCAATCTGCCCAGATAGAGGGGAATGGACCTCTTTCCAATTATTATTTTTGAACAAATTGAATCAGATTGGAGGCAGGCAGGTGTAAATGGACACAAGTTCGTTCACCCCCCGCTGGTCCATAGGAATACATAGATCATCCAGTCGGGTCTGCCTGAAAAACTGACAGGTGGAACTCAACGGATTGCCCGTGTGAAAGCGGCCTTACTCTTCTATAACCTCTGGCCAGGTTACTCTTCTAACATGCCCTGTCTCCTGTCATCCTGCAGGCATCCAGCACCAGTACGACACCCTCCAGCAGCTCCGGAGCAGGCAGTAGCAGACAGTTTACACGGCAGCGGATAACACGTGTCAATCTCAGGGACCTCATATTTTGTTTGGAAAACGAGAGAGAGACAAGCCATTCACTTTTGCTATATAAAGCATTCCTTAAGTGAAATAAATAAAAAAAAAACAAAAACTCAACAAAAATGGAAAAGATCAAGGTATTTTTTTTTCTTTTGTTTTTGCAAAGACGACACTTTTCCCTCTTTTGAACTTCGCTGGGACTGTTTTTTTGTTTTTTTTTTTAATTTTATACGTTTGCCGATTCTTATTGCCTTTTTGTTTTTCATTTTGACACGCTTGGTTATAAGCAAACCACAATCATCACCCTTCGGATTCCTTCCAGTTTTTAAATGAAACCTGCTTCATAATTGAAATTTTAGCAAAGAGAGCTGCAAACGACGGATACTTGGATGGACAAACCCACAGGATGGAACGCTGCCTTCTGCAAATCAAGCCATATACGGATTATGTTTTACAGGACGGATGGATTTTTTTTTTTTTTTTTTTTTTTAAATCCCCGTTTTTACTTCTGTTTCTCGCCAGTGGTCAGTAACTGTGCGTTTTTATCTTCTTCCGCCCCTTTCATTGCCAGTGGAAGGGGTTCCAGTTTATGACACGTCGGTTCTTTTTTTGCAGAGGGCAGTCCCTCTTATCTTCTCTATTTTTTCATTGTATTTATTGGTTTTACCTCTGCCTACTGTGGGATCGACACGCCAGAACCATCTTTGCCTCTCTGATTTTTAGCAATCTACAGTGTTCCACCCCCCCCCCCCCCCCCCCCCCCCCCCCCCCCATTAAAGTAAAATTTTAAAATCAAATTTCCACAATAAAGGTTTAAAAAGACTGTTTTTAAATTTTAGGAAGAAATTACTAAAGTAAAAAAAAAAAAACACAATGCAATGCTATTTTGCGCTTTTTTTTTTTTTGTTGTAAAAAAAATAAAAAAAAAAAAAAACCTGGGGCAGTTGCAAAAGTTTATGACAAAGGACACAACATTTTATGGCATAAATATATAAATATCTATATATATATATTACTTGCACTGTTTTAATTTTTTTTGATTTCCTATATAATTTGAGCGCTCCGCCCTCTCTTTAACAGAGACGCCACCGTGGCTTTTTTTTTTTTTTTTTTTCTTTTCTACAGAGAGGGGTTTTTCTGTTTTGTGACACACTTGGTAAAAGTCTCGACATGGCTTGCTGTATTTTTGGGTAGTTCTTGTAGATAATTTTTGGCACATGATAGCGGGGGGTTGGCGAAATAAATATAACACAGAATCTCCCATTCTACCGCAAATGACTATGTACAAATATCCGTAAATATTTTGTTAAAAAAAAACAGTATGCAAGCTTTGGCGACCGTTTCTGCCGCCATGGCAATAGCCCCATCTTTGTACCTATTTTTTTATCACGGAATAAAAAAAAAAAAGTTAAAATATACTAATTGGTTCTTTATATTTTCAGAGGTTACTGTATTAAACTGTTGATTGGTAATACTTTTATGAGTGTAAATAGCCTGACTTTGTGTCCGCCCTCCCCCCCCGATTACCAGACTCTGCCTTTGTCACCGAACTCTGATCAGTATTTGTAACTGACCGCTGTTACATCACGTCGTCGTCTCCCCCCTCCTCTCCCGCTCTCTTCCCGCCCGCCTGCTGATCTTGTCTTTCCATTTTGTTTTCTTGTACATTTTTGCACAGTTACTTGTTCATATGTAAATATTTTACTTTCAAAAATGAAGTTTTTAATTGCTATTGTTTTATATAGGATTGAAAGAAAATTAACTCCTTTATTAAAAACAAATTTATCTGTATCACGTCTGTCTGTGTGTTACTTCAGAGGTGGCCAGGGATGCATGGAAGCTTTTATTCTTCACCCTCCAGTTACTTGGCTGCCATGCTTATCTAATGGCTTCAGTACTTCACAGTGGTAGATCTAGAACAAGAATGCTGATTTGGAGTTCTGACTTCAAGTGGAATTCCGAGATAACCCTAACTACTCTTTAACACTGTCCGCTCCTCCTCCTAACACATTTGCTTACTAACCTGTGATAGAAAGATGCATATACTTACCTATTTTCAGGCCACTCTGGTCGGATCATGCGATCTCCCCTGGGTAACCCAGTGAGGGTTATTTACTAAAACTGGAGAGGGGCAAAATCTGGTGCAGCATAGAAACCAATCAGCTTTAATTGCCAAAGCTTAATTGAACAAGCTGAAGTTAGAAGCTGATTGGCTCCCATGCACAGCTGCACCAGTTTTTGAGTGCTCCAGTTTTAGTTAATCTCCCCCAGTGCCTGCTGCAGGTAAGAAAAGACAGTGCTTCGAAAATGTCTAGCAATGCCTGGGAACAGTGATGTCACCCATAGATTTCAGTGGCCCAGCAATTGTCAGCGCTCCCTCCCCTGCAACGGCACTGGCAGACACCGGGAGCTGGATCACGTGACCAGAGCATCTGAAAAAAGGTAAGTATATACACTGCTCAAAAAAAAATGAAGAGTTTGAAAACACATCAGATCTCAAGGGGGAAAAAATCTCCTGCTGGATCTCTATACTGATATGGACTGGGTAATGTGTTAGGAACATAACGATGCCCCATCGTTTGATAGAAATGATCAACCTATAGAGGACTGAATTCAAAGACTCCCCAAAAATCAAAGTGAAAAAATGATGCAGCAGGCTAGTCCATTTTTGCTAAAATTTCATTGAAGCAACTCAGAATGGTCCTCAGTAGTTTGTATGGCCCCCATGTGTTGTATGCATGCCTGACAAAGTCGGGGCATGCTCCTAATGAGACGACGGATGGTGTCCTGGGGAATTTCCTCCCAGATCTGGACCAGGGCATCACTGAGCTCCTGGACAGTCTGAGGTGCAACTTGGTGCGTCGGATGGACCGAAACATGATATCCCAGAGGTGTTCTATTGGATTTAGGTCAGGCGAGCATGGTGGCCATTCAATGGTATTAATTCCTTCATCCTTCAGGAACTGACTGCATACTCTCGCCACATGAGGCCGGGCATTGTCGTGCACCAGGAGGAACCCAGGACCCACTGCACCAGCATAGGGTCTGACAATGGGTCCAAGGATTTCATCCCGGTACCTAATGGCAGTCAGGGTTCCATTGTCTAGCCTGTAGAGGTCTGTGCATCCCTCCATGGATATGCCTCCCCAGACCATCACTGACCCACCACCAAAACAGCCATGCTGAATGATGTTACAGGCAGCAGAACGTTCTCCACGGCTTCTCCAGACCCTTTCATGTCTGTCACATGTGCTCAGGGTGAACCTGCTCTCATCTGTGAAAAGCACAGGGTGCCAGTGGTGGACCTGACAATTCTGGTATTCAATGGCAAATGCCAATTGAACTCTGTGGTGTCGGGCAGTGAGCACAGGGCCCACTAGAGGACATCGGGCCCTCAGGCCACCCTCATGAAGTCTGTTTCTGATTGTTTGGTCAGAGACATTCACACCAGTTGCCTACTGGAGGTCATTTTGTAGGGCTCTGCCAGTGCTCATCTTGTCCCTCCTTGCACAAAGGAGCAGATACCGGTCCTGCTGATGAGTTAAGGACCTTCTACGGACCTGTCCAGCTCTCCCAGAGTAACTGCCTGTCTCCTGGAATCTCCTCCATGCTCTTGAGACTTTGCTGGGAGACGCAACAAACCATCTGTCAATGGCACGTATTGATGTGCCATCTTGGAGGAGTTGGACTACCTGTGCAACCTCTGTAAGGTCCAGGTTTTGCCTCATGCTACCAGTAGTGACACTGACCCTAGCTAAATGCAAAACTAGTGAAAAACAGTCCGAAAAGATGAGTAGGGAAAAAAATGTCAGTAGCCTCCACCTGTAAAACCATTCTTGTTTTGGGGGTCGTCTCATTGTTGCCCATCTAGTGCACCTGTTGTTAATTTCATTAACACCAAAGAAGCTGAAACTGATTGACAACCCCCTCTGCTACTTAACTTACCAGATCAATATCCCAGGAGTTTCATTGACTTGATGCTATACTCTGATTAAAAAGTGTTCCTTTAATTTTTTTTGAGCCGTGTACATCTTTCCTGGTACCAACATGGCAGCAATACATGTGGATCGGCGCCAGGAAAGGAAAATGATGGTAAGTATTTGATGCAAATCCAAATGTATGCTGTCATGGACTGGTGCCAGGAAAGGCAAATGACAGTAAGTATGATATCATTTTGTGTTTTCTTTCACAGGTTAGTAAGCATAGGTGTTAGGGCCTGACAGGGCTGTACGCATTTTGCGGCTGCTGCAAGTTTGACAGGCGGCATTGCCTGCATAACATGTCCATTGAGATCAGTGGGCCCGTACCACGGCCACAAGCCAAACATTTAGCTTGCCATTACAGTGCAGTCCTGTTGATCACTTTTCCTTATCCTTGAAATTTTCCACATTTTGTCATGTTACAACCAAAAACATAAATGTATGTTTTTGAGATTTGATGTGATAGACCAACACAAAGTGGTACATAATTGTGAAGTGGAAGGAAAATGGTTTTCAAAATTTTGTACAAATAAATCTGTGAAAAGTGTGGCGTGCATTTGTATTCAGCCCCCTGGAGTCAATACTTTGTAGGACCCCCTTTCACTGCAAGTCTTTTTGGGGATGTCTCTACCATTTTTGCACATCTAGGGAGGGACATTTCTGCCCATTCTTCTTTGCAGAATCGTTCAAGCTCTGTCAGATTGGATGGAGAGCGTCTGTGAACAGCAATTTTCAAGTCTTGTCACAGATTCTCCATTGGATTTTAGTCTGGACTTTGATTGGGCCATTCTAACACATGAATATGCTTTGATCTAAACCATTCCATTGTAGCTCTGGCTGGATGTTTCGGGTCGTTGTCCTGCTGAAAGGTGAACCTCCGCCCCGGTCTCAAGTCTTTTGCAGACTCTAACAGGTTTTCTTCTAAGATTGCCCTGTATTTGGCTCCATCCATCTTCCCATCAACTCTGACCAGCTTCCCTGTCCCTGCTGAAGAAAAGCATCCCCACAACATGATGCTCCCACCACCATGTTTCACAGTGGGGATGGTGTGTTCAGGATGATGTGCAGTGTTAGTTTTCCTCCACACATAGTGTTTTGCTTTAGGCCAA